TTCTCCAAAAGACATACTCACAACTCACAAGTCACATCTATGATCTATATAAAAACAAAAGGAAGGGCCTTTACCATGGAAGTCAAAGTGGAAGCCCCATACAACAAACAAGCGGTGCCCAGCCAAGATTTCCCTGCAGCAATTCCATAGACACAGGCAACGGCGAGAGGCCACTGGAAAATAAGCTCAAGCCAAACAATCCCTAGGAAGAAATGCGGCTTCTCGGTGACCAGGTAGTCGCCGTACTCCTGCGCGTACGAGCGCTTGAGCTCCAACAGGAACGGCGGAAAGAGGTGCTCCGGGAGGCACGTCTGGCCGTCGATGAGCGGCGCCACGACGGCGATGAAGAGAAAGAAGACGAAGAGGGCGGCGTCGACCAGCTTGCAGAGGGCACCCATTATCTTTTTCTCACGTGGAGTGGACGATTTTGAGCAGTGGGCCTTGAGAACTTAACTGTATAGCAATGGCGATAATATTCAGGTTCTTTTGTGATGTTAGCTCACTGAATGAAAGGGGATCTGAGGAGGCTTGCTGACCATTTTGAATGACACAACGGGTCTTGCGGAAATTTGTGTCGTCACTAGTTTTACTCTTTCTTTTCTATGATTTATTATTATTATTATTATTACTATTATTTGGTTTTAAGTTTTCATAGCAATTTTTCTAGGAAATGTAATTTATTTATTTTTTACATCTACAATTCTATGTTTGTCTTATTTATTTATCTCATTTTTTTTTTTAAAAAATGATAAATTGACTAAAAAGTACATAAATTAACAATTTGTATATTGAAATAATTATTTCTGTCGAATTTTTAATAGTATTTTGTGAAAAAATCAATTGTCATGACCGATGAATCATAAAAAAAATAAAAAGTTTCAAACTTGATAAATCATAAATTGTGAATCGAGTGGTGAAACTACTGATAAGATGATATATGATTTGTCCTTTTATTATTCATACTAATTGAAGTGGAAGAACAAATGTTACGATTTGCGGCTTTGTGACGATTAAATATATGTATCAAATGGATCATTGAAAGATCTGCCAAGAGTTTATGAAAACTCAAATATCGTATTTTTATCACAATCCCTAGCTCGGGGTATCATTTTTGGTCAAATGCCAAAAAAAGCGACTCGGTATAAATTAAATCATGTTTTGTTTTGCTATTTTATTTACTATAATTATTGATATATTTTTTTAAATTACTATTCATCTATTTATACTTTTTTTTTTTCAATCTTATTAACATATTAAATAACATAAAGCAATTATTACTATACATTTTCAATAAAGTTATTTTAACTATTTTTTACTTTTTAGCCTCAGGACATTTTTTTGTGTTGGAATACTAATGAAAAACGAAGTCCAATCAATGGGTTTGGACCAAAATTAAAAGATAATTTTCCTCACAGAAAAAGAAAAAGAAGATAAACTAGTGCAGAACTTCAGTTTTCCATAATTTATTAGCGATAAAATAATAAAGGAAAGAACACCAAAAAGAAGGTAAATCCACTCTCTTTGTCAAGTTTCCCTTTTCCAAATCCCTAAAATCAAGAACAAGAAAGCGAAAAATGAGTGAAAGACCGGTGCCCAGAAGGGAGAGCCCTTGGGGAGTGTCTGAGGGCTACCACCCCGAGCCCAAAGCCCACCGATGCAATGACCGAGCTGAAGATGTGATTTATGTAAGCGTTCTTCGTTTATCCTTTTATCCCCAAAATCATGTTCTGTTTTTCATGGGTTTCGCTACATAATCTTGAGAGTATAAATGTATAATCGGCCATGGCGTAATCCTAGCTGGGAAAGGGTGGTTTACTAGCTGTGAGAATCTGGGCTTTGCAGGCTCAGTGAGTTTCTTGCTAGTATAATTGTAATTTTTACAACAGAAAGTTGATCTCTTTCGGTGGAGTGGTATTATTGTGCTCTGTAAAGATTGGTTCTTTTTTTTTTTGGTGTTATATAGTATAAATGGAACAGGGCTTAGAGAGTTTTGAGTAACTTTTTTTTAAATAATATGGCTGTGTCGGAAACTAGTATCAGGAGTTGTGCTTGTGATGTGGATGAATTTCTCCATCTGTATTTGAAAGTGCTGCTGATGAGATAATATGGAGAAATAACAATTTAGCAGCTTAAATCGGTTCCTCTTCAGTGTAGTGAGCACCTTCAACATGATTTTAAGTTTTTCTGATATAAAAGGTTGCTTTCAAACAACTAGCTACTTGGGAAGAATTTACTGCGAACCATCTTAAGCAAAATAGAATTATCTGTTTTCCCTTGGGTTTGCTACATAATTTTGGAGAGTCCAATCGGCCAAGACAAAATCTTAGCCGGAAAAGGGCTTTTACTGCTTGTACAATTGTGCTATGCGAATGGTCCCTATTAGTCGTACTTGTTACAAGAGAAGTTGATGTCTTTAGGTGGAGTGGTATTATTGTGCTCTATAAAGATTGAATCTTTTCGGCGGTACATTGTATAAATGGGACAGTGCTTATAGAGTTTTGAATCAGTTGTTTGAATTAATAGGCGATGTCGAAAACTAGTATTGGGAGTTGGGTTTGTGATGTGGATGAGTTTCTCCATCTGTGTTTGAAGGTGCTGATATGAGATAATATGGAGAAATAGGGATTTAGCAGCTTAAATCAGTTTCATCTTCACCGTGTAGTGAGTCCCTTTACATGATTTTAAGATTTTCGAATAAACAAAGGTTACTTTTCAGATAACTAGCTGAGGAAAATTTACTACGAACCATCTTAAGAGTAATAGGATTTTTGCTGCATGATGACACAATGGCCTTGATGTGTTTTAACTTAAACTCTTTGACTAGAGTAAGGTCTTTGCTGATAAGCCCCTGTTGCAATTTATGTTGGTTTGATGCTTGATATTAATTCAATTTCTCACAATTTTAACCATGGAAAATGGTGGATATTAACTTTTCCATATATATAACTGAAACTTAAAGCATTCCTCAGTTTCTCACAAGTTCATTCCTAGAGATAATGAGAGGAGTACTTATATTGTAGCTAACACAGTGGTCCATTTATGTTGTAATAATGTAAAGTTGTGGTACCCTAGATGTTATTTTACTCATTCAATATGTGTGTACTTGATTGGGGCACAATTTCATTTAAAATGTATGGTCTTTGCTGAAAACCCGAATCACAAATTATTATATGTAAAATACTAAAATTAGTTTGTTATTGAAACTCTTGCAGCCTCAAAATGACAGTACAATTACCAAAAATTTCAGATATAGCAAAGCCAATTTTGTACAAGCTCTTGTTCTCATGTGTTGGTCATCCGAGAAATGTAAATTGTTTTTTCAAATGTTTGTTGTATGCTGTGTTTATTTATTTGTATTTTGTAGGCATTTTTCGAAGGGAACCCTTTCAAAACAGTTCCAGGTCCTTTCAAGCTATTTTATCAGTGCATGCGCTCCAAGCCCGGGTACATTACTTACAGAATAATATGAATTTCTTAGTTATACTGAGATTCTTTGCCAGAAATCAATGAAACTGAAACTGGAAAGTGCCTTGAACAGAATCATTATTTTGTTCTGAACTTTTGCCTGAAAAACAGATCAATGATTTCTCTTTCATACAGTTGTAAATTTTTAATGTCTTTGTCATTTATGTTCTTTTACCCTTTACACATCTTTTTTTTTTTTCGAACCCTTTACACATCCATTCATTAATAATTCAATTATATGCTGAGAATTCAACTGCATTTTTTCCCCCCTTTTTATGCAGAGAAGAGCCTACTGAGCCCTTCTACTACTTGGACTTGGATCCCCCAAAGAGAGAAGTAAAACTCGAGTAGACTTCTGGGATTTCATTTGCTCTTTGCTTAAATAGTGACTTGAGATGCTATCTTGTCCACCACGACAATATCTTTTTTT